GAAAGAAGTGGGAAGAGAAGTGGGGAACATAGTAAGAGGCTGCGGTAAGAAAATGGCTTTACCAAATAAAGAACACCTCTGGCACAAAAAAACAAAAAAACCTGGTTAAAAGAAACCTGAAAAGTATAGAAGCAAGCACTCTGGTGATATGAAAATAAAGTCGGCTAGTGAGTAATGTATTGCACAACCTATATGGGAGTTGTGGAAGCATGACGAAACATAACAAAAGTGCGGGTCCCGAGTTACTGGCTTGTGATAGTAATTAAATGAGGTACTTAACTCCCATTCTAAAGATCTAGATTTCTGTAATATCATACCGATAGGGAGTACTATAAAAGGAGTGGTAGCCTAATTTGGTGGTGTACAATGTGAATACCTGGAACTATGCGAATAGCTCTCCTAATGGCGGCAGCAGATGGCTTAAGATACGGGTCTTCGGATAGCAGCAGCACCTGGCTTAAGATACGGATTAGAAACTGAAGTAACATCTCAAGAGATACCAAACTGGAAGCAAGAAAAACACCCACTTCTAGGACACCAATTTGGAAGTTATACAAGAAATGAATTAGGAATAATGTGATAAGTGATAAGGAGTGAATTATAACTGATAGACGTTGTATAGTAGTATATATAGTGGGGTATATATGGATTAGTAAAAATATTAAGGTTCTGAGTTAAATCAGAACTTAGAGTGCTTCTTGATAGAGGTATCCAAAGATGTCCATCTTACATGTGAGATGGTGCAGACGGTTGTATCTAGGCACCATATAAGGTAGCCAGGTGAGGTCATGACGACTACTTAGATAGATTAAAATATATATAATATATATAATGTTTGATTAAAAATAAGTAATAAAGTTGGGTGTGGTGATGTAGCGTAGTGGTGGAGTTGTCGCACCCCCAAGTTTGTTGGCTATAGTACTAAGTTCGAATCCTACTGGCGACGTTTCGAATAATTTACTTGTATCATGGTAACAGCTTATTCTAAATTGGGCTGGGTTTTATACCTGTAAACTAGGGCACACCAATGCCTCGAGTTGGCGCTGGGAGACATAGAAGTATTTGTGTCATTGCACAAAGAAATACAAACCGGTATAGGCGGTGCAAATCTATGATAAGCCTTCCAGGATCAATGTATATTAAAGACCTACACATAGTAGCCTGAGAGAACCGAAACTGGCTTGGCAAATCCTGATTAAGGAAGTAGCAGACTGTTCTAACCTGATTCTACAGGACAGATCTGACTGGACCCAAAAATTGGAGGAGTTGTGCAATAATGATCTTACAGACAAGAGGGATCTACTAACCAGGCCGCCAGGTTATCCGGAGAAAAAGGTCACATGTTATAAGATTGTGACCAAGGATCAGAAGCCTTCAAACCTGAGTCTGAGAAACTTGGGTCTGGGCAGACCAATCTTTCCGGCCATCTGGATTGGGAGAACAACAATACCAAAAGGAGTAAGGTGTGGAAAGTAATGGAATGTAGTACAGAGGTTTGTGAACCTTAAAAGGATAGAGTAGGTAATGGTAGAGTTTTAATGGTTATACCCTAACCCCAAGTACATGAATTAAGGCATAGCATAAGTTACTAAAGTCTAGATAAATACATATATGGGAATGTACCACTCTGGCAGGTTTATCTCGAGGATAAATCAGGACATATGGTCCTTCTAAGTCTGGCTATTAATCTAGTGATATTGCATAGATCCATGTGCCCTGGTAAGTGCATGGTGAGGTTACATCTGAGTCTTAAATCCCACACGGTAGAAGTAAGAATATAATCAGAGGGTTTAAATGGGTACCCCCCTAGTTGGGGTGCAGGTATGGCAAATATTGTAGAATCTTCAGGCGGACTACTTAAATTAGGCACTCAAAAGATGCATATGTGGCTATATGTACTTTCATTGTATACTGAAATAAAACTTAATGATAATAAATTACCGTTGACAAAAAGGTTATCTTTAATACCGAAAAAAAAAAAATAATAAGTAATAAAGTTAATAACAAAATTGTCAAAGTTTAAAAAAAAAAAAAAAAAAAAATTTATATTATTTTAGACTTATTTAATTTAAGAGTTAATATAGATATACCTGCAGGGTATATTAAATTAGATATACCCGTAGGGTATATTAAATTAATTGTACTCATTATTTTGATCTATCGGAGTTATTGAGCTGTGTATATATAATGATATTGCATACAAAAATAGTAATATCTATATTGTTTGCTGAGTTTGTTCTGATGTAATCTGACATATGCAGAGAAATCAAATAAATATCGTTCGATCACATTTTTTAGATATCTTTTCGCTTGAGCGCAAAACATACTACTCAATAACTTGGTACATACAGGCTAGTTTTATTACACAACCATTTTTTAAATCTTACCTTAAATTACTTATACACATTCTCGTTTTGTGCTATGCTTTTCATTGTTTTCAATTAAATAGTACTTAACCAACTTTTTTTAACTGCCATTTTCTTTAAGTGTGTTCTTTCGCTTCATGTTAGAAAATTTTAAGTGCTTCTTTTTAATCAATAACTCACAAGCTACTAACTACTTGTTTACTTATTTAGCCTTTTTTTGGTATCCAAATTGGTTAAAAAACATAAAAACGTTTATTAGAACTACATTTACTAAAATGGAAGGTGAAGATAGCTTTGGACGTACTGAAGAGTTTTCAAATATTGAATTAGAGTAGGTGAACTTTTAAATTACTTTTGGTTCAAAGGTGATTCAAATACTGTATATTCTAATTAAACTTCAATAATAGTATTGATGATTGGATTAACATAGTAGATGAACTATTAAGGCAAACAGCTGGTTATCAGAATGAACTTGACTGTATTGAATTACAGTAAGTCAAGCCTTTTTGAATTACTTTTGGCTCATAGCTATTTCAAATATGTTCTAATTTAGTTTCAATAGTAGTAATGAGGATTTGACTAATGCAACGGATGAACCAGCAGCTGAGCAAACAATTATTAGTTAGAATAAGCTTGACCTTATTGAATTATAGTAAGTCAAGCATTTTTTGAATTACTTTTGGTTTAATGTTGTTTTAAATATATTATAACCAGGCTTTAATAATAGTAATAAAGATTCGACTAACATAATAGATGAACTAGCAGTTAGGCAAATAGTTGGCAATCAGGATGAACTCAATCATATTGAATCACAATAAGTCAAGCATTTTTTGAATTACTTTTGGTTCAAAGTTATTTTAAATATGTTCTCATTGAATTTCAATAATAGTGATAAGAATTCAGCTAATGTAATGAATGAATCAGCAGTTGGGCAAACATTTGGAAGTTGGAATGAACTTGACTGTTTCATATCTTTCTATATGAAATTACAAAATTTTGTAAGTGTTATACATGGATCAGAATATAGTAATGAGATTTGTCGAAGTCACTGATATGCTTGTAAGCATCAGGGTCATAATAGTACAAACAAGACTAGTATAGCTAAAAATCAATGACAGATACGAAGTAAATGTATTGGGTGTTGCTGGCAAGTTTGTGCCAGTTGTCCTAAAACAACAGGCATACTTAAAATTAATTCAGTCTGTTTAAATCATAATGATCACCAAATAAGCAATGAAACTAATAAGTTTGCTTTGAAATACCATATATTTTCAGAAAGCATGCTAAAAGAAATCAAATTTTGAACCAAAGTTGGAAATATTAATATAAGAACACAATATCAAATGCTAGTAAAGCAATATTCAGATGTTTTTTTTTTGCCTCAAGACCTTTCAAATATTATTTAGAGTTTTAAGTAACAAAATCAAGTTGAATATGAGGTAGCTACCTTATTTAATAACCTTTTAAAACGTAAATCCAAAGATAGTAGATGAATTGTAAATTAAAAAATCGATCCTGCTAATAATTTTCTTATCTCATTTTCTGGATGTTGCCCGATCAATATGATTTATACATATGATATCATGATGTTGTCCAACATGACAACACTTATTCTACCAACAAATTCAAAATATCATTAGGCTTTTTTCTTAATTGTGGACAATAAAATAGGTCTCGTTTAATAGAACAAGCCCTTATAAATGATGAAACGGCTAAAAGCTATGAATGGGTTTTTCAAGGAGATGTTTAAAGCAGAGTAGATTCTTATAATATATATTTTATCAAATTAACTTTAGAGTTATGATCATCATGGATTATTTTTAGGGTAGGCTTTAAATAGTTATATATAAGCAAAATTGCCTTCTCGACATTTTTACTTAGTTTATCCAAGGTAGGTTTAGACTACTATTTTTTGTATTTTCAAGTTGTTCGCTTTTTTTTTCTTGTTTTGCTTCGTCAGCGATCATCAAAATTCTATAATTTGATTGGTTATATATCACGTGATTTTGCTCCGCTTTAGACGACCCCTTTTTTAAAATTTAATAACAAATACTAACATCTTACCTTTAACTTTAATAACAGACAATGATCTTGCTATTAATGCTGCAGTCGTTAATGTTTTGCCTAATATGTATTATGTCCATTGTATATATCACATAGGGCAAAATTTAATAAGGAATTTGAAAGAAAAATTAGGTGTAGATTATGATGAATTTTCTAAAGACTGGCACCTAATATGTAATTCACTCTCATGTCAACAATTTGATTTTTTATGGAATAAACTTTTATCAAAATTCCCTGATACTGCACTATATCTTAATCATGCTCTCTATAGTGAAAAAAAATATTGGGCTTTTTGTTATGTTTCTAAAGTTTTTACTGCTAGTGTGTAGTCAACTCAACAAGTTAAAGGTCAAAACGCTATTATCAAGAACTCAGTAAATAGTAGTACATTCTTAATTAATCTTGAAAAATATATTAATGAGCAAATTAATCATGCATCCTCTTTAGTTCAATATAAAAATTGGGTTCATTTAGTTATGAGATCTACACTTATTCATGCTAGTTGTGAATTTTTACCCAATATTGATAAATGAATCACCATCTATTTAACACCAACTTCCTTATCTATGCAATAGCAGGAAATCGTCCAAGCCGTTTGGTATATGTCACAACAAGTTGATAATTTTCAGAAGTTGGAGTTACAATTTGACTTAAATGAACAATCTAACTTAGCTGGACAAACTAACTTAGATAAAGTTTTTAATGTCTTTGTTGAAGATTGCGTAGATGTGTTTGCTACTTTGATTAAAGAGTTAATACTGTCTACAAAAATTGATTCAATCCATAAAGTTTGGGAAGTTACCCGACATAAACACAATATAAAAAATTATGTTTTATTGTTTAAAGATAATTCACACTTATATACATATCTCAACTTGATTCAGTATAGTTTAGTTTGTAGACATTTTTTCAAAGTTATAACTATATATATATATTTTTTTTAAATATTAAGGTGACCACTTAGGCCCTTGGCACTTTATTAGTACAAGCGGTAGGCCAATATTAATTTTA